CAGAACCCTCTACCCGCACCCAAACTCCTCATCCCGGCCCACCCAGAGCCAGCACCCCCTGCCTGAGTCCTCACCAAACCCCAAACCCCTGCCCCAAGCCCGGAGCCCTCTTCCACACCCTGAACCCCTCATTTCTGGCCCCACCCAGAGCCCACACCCCCAGCCCATACCCCACCCTGCACCCCAACCTCCTGCACCAGCTCAGAACCCTCTCCCGCACCCCAAACTCCTCATCCCCGGCCCCACCCCAGAGCCAGCACCCCCCTGCCTGAGTCCTCACCAAACCCCAAACCCCTGCCCCAGCCCGGAGCCCTCTTCCACACCCTGAACCCCTCATTTCTGGCCCCACCCAGAGCCCACACCCCCCAGCCCATACCCCCTCCCGTACCCCAACCCCCTGCCCCATCCTGAGGGTCAGGGAGAGCGAGCGACGGAATGAGCGGGGATGGAGCGAGTGGGGGCGGGGGCTTGGCGAAGCGGTGTTTGGTTTTGTGCAATTAGAACAGGGGTTCTCACAACAAATTTTTTGGTGGCCTCAGCCACCAACTCTCACTGGTGGCTACACTGACACTTTTTCCTAAAATACTTAATTAACGTTAGGAAAAACAATTAAAAACACACCAAGTCATTGTAATTTATATTTGTAGGGATTTTTGACAGACTCAATAATAAAAAATAAGGCTGCCTCCCCCTTTGGCCCCCCCATCCAGGGCTTAGTGAGTCATGGGGCTTGCTGTGAAAAGTGATATTTGTATATTTGTTAATATCACAGCACACTTTAGCTGCCTGGGAGACTGTGAAAAGTGATGAGTGATATTAACAAACATTCAAGTATCACTTTTCACCAATAGCTAGTAAGTCTGCTGTTGAAAGTGATACTTGCGTGTTTGTTAATATCACTTTTCTCAGCAAGCCCCAGGACCCATTAAGCCCTGGATAGGGGGGCAAAGGGGAGGCAGCAGGGGCCAAAGGTGATGGTGGGATGGATGGGGGAGGCTAGGAAGGCAATGGGGTCCGAGGTGATTAGGTGGATACAGGCCATAGGAGGCAGTAGGGGTCATGGGCAATGGGGGTGAGTGATGATCCCCACTGTCACGTGGCCCGAGCCAGGGGCTGGTGCCTGCTGCCATGAGGCCAGGACTGGGGCTCAGTGCCCGCAGCCAGAACCCAGAACAGAACAGGAACTGTGTGGCTGGAGCCAGGGATCGGAGCCCGCAGCCGTGCAGCCAGAGCTGTGGGTCAGCGCCCAGGGCCAGTGCCTGCCGCTGCACAGCCAGAGTTC